CAACCCTGAGCCGGTGAGATTTGAACCGCTGAACTGCTGATCTAGCAGTAGCCTGCAGTGCTGCATTTAACCACTGCGCCACCTTGGCTCAGCGGCATTTGCTGTCCAGCTGGTTATTTAAGGCCATTTGCTAATATCTTACAGATGTCCAACAGCTCTGACAAACCAAGACAGACTTTATAGCAATAGGAAACTATAGATCCCAGGAGAGGGGAGGTGGGGGGAGGCGAAGGCCAGTTCAGCTGCACCACAGGCTTTCTTTGTGGAAGGAAGTTATTCTGGGCTACAGTATGAAGCATCAATGCGGTAAATACTCATACACCAAGAAACATCCATCCAATATTCACCTATCGAGAGGTCCTTGGCCACATCTCACACAGCCTTCTCCCTTCTTAGAGGCTCTGCCCTGTTAAGCAACCGACCTCAGGACCTCCTCAGATGCCCCTCACAAGGCTCAAAGTTGTGCAGCCCCTGAAGCCATTTGGTTCTTTGGCAAAATTCATGGAGCCTTTACCCTTCTTCCTGGCTGCTGGTGGGCCCAGCTGGCTGATGGAGGGAGCCACTCTAGCTGACAAGAGCAGCTCAGGTGGCCCCAAGTGCCTGGCATCCATAAAATGGGCTGCTCGGTGGTCCCAGGACCAGCTTCAGCAGGACCCAATTCCTGAAAGACCCTGAGACCTGACGGACACACACACACACACACAATGCCTGTTTGGACAGGTTCACTTTTCTGAAAGTGCTTTTTAAAAGAACAAGGCTAGGTGGAGTTCAATGAAGTTCATTTTTTTTCCAGCTTAAATAGCTCCTTGTTAATTAGTGGAAAATAGCATCACCTCAATTCAGGGTTTTTTCCCCTCCCAATCAGTTCCAAGAGATGTTTGTCAATTTGGGATCCCTTCAACTGCATCTTGAGGAGCCAAATTCTTGCAGGTGCCAAGAGATTAAGTAAAGCCGCAAGAACTGGGGCTCGTACAGCGCTTCCCGGGATGTAAGAAAGGGCCAGCCTGACCCAGGAGGAGGTCAGCAGGGCCTTCTAGCAGGGCCAGGAAAAGCTGAGCAGGAAGGGGCTTTCCAGAAGTGGAAAGACAGAGGCCAAACCGGCAGGACAAGTGTGCAGTGGTTGGGGGACGCCCAGAAAGGAAGAGCCGGGGGGCCTGGTGCAAGGAGGATCGTAGAGGGCAAAAAAGATCCAGGGGAAACCCGGAGTTCCGAACTGCAGAATTCCTTTAAATCTGCTTGAAGCAGAGAAGCAGCTGAAATGAGGAGGAGCAAAGAGGCCTTTGAGGCAGAGAAACCGAAGGCACCGGCCTTTCCTGGGGGGACACAGGCAGTTAGGTGGCCTGCAGTGACTTCCTGGGAGACGTAAAGCAGGCAGAGGCAACCAGGGAAGATACTCTGGGGCATCTTGAGAGGCCACAACACACAAACCAGTCACCAGTCCTGAGGGCTTCCACCTGAGCCTTTGCAAAGGATTCCAGAGTGGGATTTTCATTGATGTATTTATTCCATTTCTACAGCCTCCCAACTCATAGCAAAATGGGTCACCTGTTCCTACAATTGGCCTCATTCCAGAGGATGAGAAGACAGACAATGCAACACCAGTTTTTCCAGAGGGGCCCAGGGGAGAAGCTTGGCAATCTTTGCACAAGTAGCGTGCCAATACCTTCTTCCTCGGGCTGAGAGAAAGGGACTGGCACCCAGCCAACTTCCCGGCCTAAGAGAGGGACAGAACTCTGCTTTTCCCACTGTTAGCCTTAAATGTCAGACGTAAACAAACAAAATGTTCAAACCTGAGTATTCCTCCAACCTTGCATTGAACTAATGAAACAGCTACTTTAAAGCAGGTTCCTGCAGGGTATTGTGAATACCAGACTGCAACTGTGTTCTGGAAAGTTTTCATCCACTGCCTCTCGCTCACAGAATGTCAACTGGCCAGATCCCCACCCACCCTCCCAAAAAATGACAAGGCCGAGGCTGCATTTCTGGAACGCTCCCTAAGCATCACTCGGAGCAAAGGTCAGATTTCCAGGCCAGACAGGAAATGCCACCAGGTGAGCTAATTGATGCTTTATTATAAGGCTACATTAGCAGAATCTTGCCAGCCTTAAATGTGAGATGTGAGATGTAAAAGTACAATTCTCCCACCGTCCCCTTTGCAGCCGCAGAACTTAGGGAGCCTCCCTCTGGAGCCTCTTGCCTGCCCATTGTCCAGCTGCAGGCTCAGCTGCCTCTTATCTTCCCCTTCTTCCATGGCCCAGCTTCTCAAGGTCTTTCTCACCGCGCCTTACAGAAAATGAACAAGCAACCACAGAACTGCAATTTCAGAAGAGACTCTTCAAGTCATGCACAAGCAAAGCCTAGTTTAAAATAAACAACACTCAGTTACTCTGATTAAATCTCATCAAAGATAAATGCTCTCTAACCCAGCGTAACCATATTACATTTACCATATTAATATTTAAAAGTGGCTTACAGGCTCTTCCGTTTTGGGATTTCCCACAGTCCTGAATCCTTAACTCTTCAGCCTAAAATAGTCAGAGAGAGATGACAAGACAAAATCTGGCAACAGACTGAACCTGAGAGGGCAAAAAAGGACTTTAAAAGTCAACACCACACCTGAGCAGCAAAGTGTGTGATTGATGGGTAAGGAGAATGAAAGATGTATCTGTGGGGACTCATTTAACATTCAATGCAAGACTCCAGTCTGTTCATGATGACAATACAATGAATAAAGATGGCATTTAGTACAAATGATATTACTGAGCAATTCCCAGCCAACAGTTCTACCAAAAATTGGTCCCCCGCAAAAGACACAGAGCTGGAGCCTTTTCAGTAGTAGCTCCGACCCTCTGGAACGAGCTCCCCGTGGAGATTCGTACCCTCACCACCCTCCAGACCTTCCGCACAGCCCTCAAGACCTGGCTATCCCGTCAGGCCTGGGGATAAAGATCGTAACCTGCCCCCACCCGAATGATGAATGTTGTGTTTTATTTTTACTTGCACTGTTTTCATGTTTATTGTTTTATTGCCTTGTACCCCCCCTTCCCTATAAATTGTAAGCCACGCTGAGTCCCCTCAGGGAAAAGGGCGGCCTATAAATAATAAACTCAAACTCAAACTCCTTGCCTCAGGAGGTGGGCTGTTCTAAAGGAGGGGAGCCCCTGAGGGGTCCTGGAAATAAAGGGTGGCTTTCAACAGGAGCAGACAGATCCCATCTAGGAAAGTTGACCTGCTGGATCCCACCCAAGGCTTTCGGGCACCTTGTTGTGTATTCAGAATACCTCACTAGACAATACAGCCCCCACTTGGCTACAGCCCCCCCCCCCCAACACAAATACATCTCAATACAGCCCTGGGTGGTGGCCGATCTGTGCCAGCCTGACGCATGCACGTTTGACTGCCTGGCTGACAGAAGACCCAGCTGTGGGTCCAGCCAGTTATCCCAGCACAGCCTTTCCTCAAAGTGAGCCCCCAAATGCTTTGATTGAAACTGATCCAGGGCTTCAGAGTTGTAGTAAACAATTCACATTGTTTCCTATCGACAAATCTCCTTCTGTAAAAGCAGAGGTCTTCGTGAGCTGTAGCCCTCGTCATCCCAGCTCTGTTACCATTCCACAAACTCTGCCCATGAGGATTAGAGATGCTGCCAGGCTCCGTGGCTGCTGCAGAGGCTCAGGGCCCTCAGCTGCAGTTCTCTTTCCATGGCTGGTGGTATCGGCTGAGGAGCGCAGAAACTCTGGCTCAAAGGGAAAGGGAGGGAGGGCAAGCCTTTGAAACCCAACTCAAATGGATTCAGGCTGGCTTCCCTAGAAAGCAGGTGAAGTGCCCTGGGAAGACAATGGGGGAAGGCAGTTTTCCCTGCTGCTACCCCACAATGAGTCTGGTGGTTTTTAAAAAGAACTGCAGCAAATGAACAGGAACCTTGACACGGGGAACACTTGGTGACAGCTTAAAAATAGACTCCAGCAACTGCAGCCTGTAACAACAGCCCTCTCTGTTGCCCAAAAGCCCCTGCCCCCCGGCCCCTCCTCCCACTCCTTAAAAGAGCCTGGGGAAGAAGTGAGGACCACCAAGGGCCAAACCCAAATGGGACAGAGGGAAGGTAACAGCCAGAAAACCTGCTAGGAGCTGTGCCAGGAAACCCTGGGCCAGAGCCTCTGGTGTAAGGTCATCAGAGGAGGGGTCTGGCAGAGGGGAGGGTCCTTTCAGAACTTGGGAAGTTCCTGGAGAAAGTGGTTGGACTCTGGAGGAGAAAAGCTGCCTGAAGAGGGCAAGAGTTAGACCTTGACAGGGAGGGAGGGAGGGAAAGGAAGGAGTTGCAAATAAATGGATGGATGGATGGATGGATGGATGGATGGATGGATGGATGGATGGATGGAAGGAAGGAAAAATGGGAAAAGGGAGAGGAAGGAAGGAAGGAGTCCGTTAACAGAGCTACTAGAAGATAAAATCCGGAGTCTCAATATACAGGCAATCTACCTGGGCACACAGGTTCTTTACAGGCTAAAAACAAACCTGGCATTCCTCAGATGGTGGGGGAGGGAAGGGTTAGAGAGCCGCTCTCCTGGAAGAGCTGAATTGTCAGGCAGCCTGATCCACCCACCCACCTATACAACGCCGAGACTCACAGGAGACACTGACTTTGGCATTGTCTGAAGTGATTGTTGATCCTTTGCCAAAAACTATTTCTGCTATTACTTGGATTCTGTGCTTTCGGGTATAAAATGTTTGTAACAAATAGATGCATAATTAGGAATAAAAATATGTTTTTTTCCTCAGGGTAGCACAACTACTTTCATCCAGTCTCATTCTCTAAATGCCAACTTGATTTGTGCTACCTGGCAAATACATCCTGGTAACCAAATGTCTGTATTTTGAACTGGGAGGGGCTCCTAAACTTCCAGGTCTTCGAGGCAACCCCCAGGTACCCCCTGCCATGAGGTATGTTTGACCACAAAAGCCTCTTTCATCACTGAGTGGCCTCTTGTTTTCCTCCCCCTGCCAAATTCTGCCGTGCCAGAGTCTCAGCAGCTACCAGGGCCCTTTGCGCCTCCTCTCCACAGTGCCTGCCCAGAGGCCATGGCAGTGTCTGTGGAAGACCGGAGAGCTTATTCACATTTACTGGCAGTCTCAGCAAAAGCAGCTGGCCTAAGTAAATGAAGAGATTTTTGCTGCATATATTTTATCAGCAAAGAAAGCCTGAATGTTCCAAATAAATACTCTAATGGGCTCCAAGAACCTGGTCGGAAAAAACATTTTCCTTATTCTCCACTGGGCAGAAGCCCAAGAATTCTGCAAGAGAATGAAGACCATTAGCAGCAACCAAAGAGAAATCAGCCTGGCAGCTGTGCAAGATTTCTGCCATCTGAAAGCAGCATAACCATCAATAGAGTGGGGCGAATCACAGTGAGAGGGGTGAAGAGTGTCTTTGGTTCCTGACTCAGACAAATGGGGCCCAAGACTGGCAAAGGTCTGGCCGGATCCCCTGCAACAGGGGTCTCCAGCCTTGGCAACTTTAAGAGGTGTGGACTTCAACTCCCAGAATTCCTCAGCCAGCAAGAATTCTGGGAGTTGAAGTCCGCAAGTTTTAAAGTTGCGGAGGTTGGAGACCTCTGCCCTACAAGGCCAGGCCATTGAGCAAGGTCAGTGAACTCAAGAGACAAAGAAGAGCCAACCTCCTGCATTCAAGAGCCAACGTGGCCTTGACACTGGATTATGTACACACACACACACACACACAGCAATGGCCACAAGATTGTTTCATTTGTTGTTCTACTCTTGCAAATTTTTACGTGCTCGTCTTGTCTCCCAGCACAGCTGAACAAACTTGGAGAACAGCTGCAAGGGATCTTGAAGGTCTTCTAATCCAACCCTCTCATCAAACAGGAAACCCTCTACCTTTTCAAACAAATGGGTGTCCAGTGATGGAGCACCCACAACTTCCAAAGGCAAGCAATTCCACTGGTTAATGGTTCTCACTGTCAGGAAAGTTCTAGGTTGGTTCTAGATTGGTTTTCTTCTTGATTAGTTTCCATCTATTGCTTCTTGTTCTGCCTTCTGGTAAATAAGCTGACCCCCTCTTCCTTGTGGCAGCCCCTCAAATATTGGAACATTGCTATCATGTCCCCCCTAGTCCTTCTTTCTATTAAACTAGACATACCCAGTTCCTGCAATTTTCATATGTTTTAGCCTCCAGTCCCCTAATCATCTTTCTTGCTCTTCTCTGCACTCTTTTTAGAGTCTCAACATCTTTTTTACATCGTGGCGACCCAAACTGAATGCCGTATTCCAAGTGTGGCCTTACCAAGGCATTATAAAGTGGTATTGAGACATCACGTGTTCCTGTGCCTGGAATGGTCTAGGCCAGGGTCTCCTGTTTGAGCAGGGGGTTGGACTAGAAGACCTCCAAGGTCCCTTCCAGCTGTGTTATTCAACCGCAGATCATAGTCAGAGATCTACAAGGATGTGAGTCCCACCAAGGAATGGGAAGGCAGTCCTTCGCTCACTGAGGATCCCAGCACCGCCAGAGAAGGGGCTGCTTTCCCCTCCCAGCCTTTCCTTCTAGCCAAAAGGCTCCAAAGTTCCCTCTTCGCCCTTCGGGGCCGATTCTCTCACCGGAGAACAACGAGGGACCCTCCAGCTTTCCTTATTGGGCCCAACGGTAATTCGGGCCCTGAAAGGGGAATGACGGCGCGACTGGCTGCACCCGCTGCCGCGGAGAGGAAAGAAACGGTCCCTGCAGGTCCACCAGGCTCCCCGGCCCTCTCAGCCGCCCAGCCGCCGCAACCACCCGGACAACCGCCTGAGGGCGGCTAAGACGCCGAAAGCGGCGACGGGGGAACCGGCCCAGACCCGCCACGACCGCCCGGCTCCCTCCCTCCCTCCCGTCCCCCGTGGAGACGCAGGCGGGGCGGCCCTGGGTTCCTCACCGCCCCGCCTGCACCCGCAGCCTCCCCCGCCTCGCTCCTCGCTCAGGCAGCAGGAGAGACGCCGAGGCTGCCCACCCAGCGCCAGCCCGGCCTGCCGGGAAGCCGCGCGCGAGGGCCGAGCGGCCGCCGCTCCCCTGCAGCCCATCCCGGCCACTCACCGGCGGCAGCGGAGGGCCAGCAGCTGCCAAGGACGCGCCGCGCCACGTGCCTCCCCGCGACGCCCCCGCCGAGGCCCTGACAGCCGCCCCGGAAAGCTGCGGCTCCGCTCGGCGGCTCCGGCTCGGACGCCACACCACGCTCTGCCCGGGCCAAGAGGCTGCGCGGCCGCCCGGCTGGCCCGAACCCGCCGCTCATGCCGGGGGGCCCGCCTGGAACGCCAGCAATGCCGCCGGGCCGGTTGCAGAGCGGGGGCGGGGCGCAGCAGGAGGCGGCGGCGGTGTCCCCCAGGCCGCTCCTCCCGGGACGGGGCTCCTCCGGAGGGGCGGCAAGGGAAGCCCCTCACTCCGGCTGGCCGAGGCCGCGAGGGGCGGCGCGGCGGGGCGGCTCCAGGGACGGAGCAACGCCGCCAGCCCGGCTCACCTGGCCCCGCCCGCCTGCCACCCTCCCGCACCGCCAGGCCAGCCGGAGAGCCTGCCCGAGAGGCTCCTGGGGCCGCCTGGGCTTCTCCGAGGGGGAGTAGCCGGAGTCACGCGCCACCCCGCCGCCCCAACCCCGTGGCCGTGGCCGAACTGCGCCTCCGTCCCGAGTGGGCTGGGAAGAAGGCGGTCGGGGTCTTCGGGAAGGCCGCGGCGTCCCCCCCCCCCTCGGCTGCCTTTGACGCTGGAGCCCGGGAAGGCCTGGCCGCCCCTTCGGGGACCCCCCTGCCATCTGCACAAACCTCCTTTGCAGGGCAAGGCTCGTGCCCCACCGCCGATGCAGCCCCCGCCTCCCGAACAGCTCAAGTCCCCTGCTTGAGACCCCGAATCCGGGGCAGGGATCGGGCGTCCTGGTGCCTGGAGCATGTGCAGAGTGAAACTGAACATCAGGCAGCACTAAAGCCTGTGAATAACTCGGTCATGATTCAGTCTGTGACCTGGTTCACACCACACCCTGAACCCCAAAGGACTCCTCCGCTTGGATATCGTTGGCTGGGCAACCAGTCCATTTTGAGTGTGCAAAGGACACACACACACACCTAACAAACATGGAGCAGCTACAGAAACAGGGGTCCTGTCCTTCTGAGCACAAGGGCTGGGGGAGAGTGCTATAGCTCACAAAAAGGAGTTAGGTGGAAAAGGTGTTGTCCAACTCTGATTGGCCCTCCGGAGCTCCAGGCTCCAGCTGGTCTTCCCAAAATCTTCTGCCTCCCACCTTTCCTTCTAGGTGGTCCCCTTCCCAAACACTCAAGAGGAGGATGAAGACCTTTTGTCCAGCCCCACCTGAAGCCCATCACTCTGGCTAGATCCTGCCCTGCCTGTCATTCTTGCAGCAGTTTGGGTTGCTCAGAATATGGCCAGAAGGGCTCCGGAAGGTTCTTTGAAGTCCTAAAGAACATGCCTTAAATAAGGAGGTCAGAGGGCTCCATCTTTCCAGCTGGTAGAGAAATGAGCCACACCAGGCATCATTCATGTCCTTGCTCTCAAGAACATTCCTTGCTAAACTAGGAGCTTCCTTTGTTGTTTAAGGTATTCAAAGTATGTGCAGGAGAAAAGCAATGCCAAATATTTGACTGGGTTTCGTGGGTTGGAGCCTTAGATGTGACACTTCTGGTTTATCAACTGGCCGGTGAAGTAATTCCTTAGCTGCTGCTGGCCATCAAAGAGAGTTTCACAGTCACATTTGACAACAAAACAAGCCCTTTCCTGGTTCCCATGAAGCACAGATCCGAAACTGACAAGCTTCACACCTATATGCTCAGTCACAGGAAATCATGACAATGTTGAAAGTCTCCTGGCCAAGCACTTTGTGTGACTGCAGGCTCCAGACTTGCCAAGTGTGAATCCAGCTACTGAGTAGACTACAGAATAAGAGAGTTAGAAGTGACCTTGGAAGTCTTCTAGTCCAGTGTTTCTCAACCTTGGCAACTTGAAGATGTCCGACTTCAACTCCCAGAATTCCCCAGCCAGCGAATGCTGGCTGGGGAATTCTGGGAGTTGAAGTCCGGACATCTTCAAGTTGCCAAGGTTGAGAAACATTGGGTTAGAGTGCAGTACTGCAGGCTACTTCTGCTTACTGCCGTCTGCCTGCAATTAGGCAGTTCGAATCTCACCAGGCTCAAGGTTGACTCAGCCTCCCATCCTTCCGAGGTGGGTCAAATGAGGACCCAGATTGTTTTGGGGGCGATATGCTGATGCTGTAAACTGCTTAGAGAGGGCTATACAGCACCGTGAAGCAGTATATAAATCTATTGCTATTGCTATCCGAATATAAGTCACAAGACCATGGGAATGCTGCAACGATCGTAGGCATGAAAAATGGTCACTTTTTGCATCGCTGTTGTAACTTCAAACAGTCACTAAATGAACTGCTGTAAGTCGAGGACTTCCTGTAATCAAGATGGCAATGAGGACTATGCCACTAGCGGCCATCTTGGTCCTTTTGAGGAGACCGGTTGTCAGCCATCTTTTTAGACAATGGATGTTCTTGCCCAAGCCACACAGGGGCTGACTGCTAAACCAATGGAAAACAGACCCAAAATTTGGCGTACTCCACAATTTTGGCATTTCCAGCTTAAATATTTGTTTATTCTCTTCCAAGACTTAAATGATCTTGCACAATTTGAGACAGGATACGGGAGGATCCCGTAAATGCATAATGGGGCTTGTTCCTGCTGGCCCGGGCAGAAATTCAATAGTCGTAAGAGGAAGGATTTATAGGAAATGCTTTTAAGAGAAATAACAATTTTTTGCCCTGCTGTTTCCAGACTGCCAGCATATACTGGTCACTGGTGGGTTAGCTGGCTTCTTACAACCATAACACTCATCCATGTCACAAATGTAGACATTGATCAGTGTAACGGGGTTGAATCTGGGTCTCTAGATTTAAAGTTCATTGCTTGTATTTTCCTATTTTCTCTCTCTCTCTCTCCATCTTTTTCTTGACTCTCTCTTATCTTTCTCTGCCTCTTTCCTCGTCTCTGTCTCTCTCTCCCTCTCTCTACAGAGCTCACTATTTTTCTCTCTCTTCACCCTGCCTCTCTGTCTGTCTGTCTGTCTGTCTCTTTCTGTCTGCCTCTCTTCCCTTCCTCTTCTTTCTGTCTCCATCTCTCTCTCCCTTCCTCCCTTTCTCCTCCTCCTCTCTCTCCATCTTTTTCTTGACTCTCTCTCTCTTTGCCTCTTTCCTAATCTCTCTGTCTATGTCTCTCTCTCCCTCTCTCTGTAGATTTCACTCTTTTTCTCTCTCTTCCCCCTGCCTCCCTCCCTCCCCCCTCTCTCTGTCTGTTTCTTTTCCCCCTCTCTCTGCCTCTCCCTCTTCTCTTCCTCTTCTTTCTGTCTCGGTCTCCATCTCTATCTCTTCAAGTTTGTTTCCCTCCCTCTATCTCCACCCAATCTTCCTCAAAGGGCTGCAATTCTATGGAAATAGCAATAGCCCTTAGGCTTATAGACCACTTTACAGTGCTTTACAGCCCTCCCTAAGCAGTTTACAGAGTCAGCTTATTTCCCCCAACCAATCTGGGTCCTCATTTTACCCACCTTGGAAGGATGGAAGGCTGAGTCAACCTTGAACCGGTCAGGATCAAACTCCTGGCAGTAGGCAGAGTTCGCAATAGCAATATGACTTATACACCACTTTACTGTGCTTTACAGCCCTCCCTAAGCAGTTTACAGAATCAGCCTATCACCCCCAACCAATCTGGGTCCCCATTTTACCCACCTTGGAAGGATGGAAGGATGGGTCAACCTTGAACCAGTCAGAATCAAACTCTTGGCAGTAGGCAGCGTTCGCAATAGCAATAAGACTTATATACCACTTTACGCAGCCCTCCCTAAGCAGTTTACAGAGTCAGCCTTTTGCCCCCAACCAATCTGGGTCCTCATTTAACCCACCTCGGAAGGATGGAAGGATGGGTCAACCTTGAGCCAATGAGACTCGAACTGCCAGCAGTCAGCAGAAGTAGCCTGCATACCTGCATTCTAACCATTGTGCCCCCTGGCTCAATACAAGTTTAATGTCTGATATCAGGCATATCTGATATCAGACATAGAGCCGAGGTGGCGCAGTGGTTAAATGCAGCACTGCAGGCTACTTCAGCTGACTGCAGTTCTGCAGTTCGGCTGTTCANGAAACACTGTTCTAGTCCACCCCACTGCTCAAGCAGGAGCCCCTATATGATTCCAGACAAATGGCTGTCTAATCTCTTAAAAACCTCAAATGACAAATTCAGGAGGCCAGTCTGATTAAATTATATCACTAATAGGAAATTAGTCTCCTTTATTCTGGTTGGATCACTCCTTGTAAATTTCTGTCCATTACTCCTTGTCCTGCTCTCGGGTGCTTTGGAGAATAGGCTGACCCCTCTTCTTTGTGGCAGCACCTCAAATATTGCAAAACTATGGTGTTACCCCTAGTCTTTTTCACTAGACTAGACGTACCCAATTCCTGCAACTGTTCTTTGTATGTCTTCGTCTGTTTTAGCCTCCAGCTCAATGCTATTGAGCCAGGTTTCATCTAATACATTTGGTGTTTCTGGACTCAGTGTAAAACGTTACTTTTCTCACCATTGAATTTCATTTTGCCGGATAGGGCTCAGTATTCAAGTCTGTCATGATCCATCTGGATGTTGAGCCTATCAGAGGTGGTATTCAGCAGCAGGTTCTGACCAGTTCTGGAGAACTGGTAGCAGAAATTTTGAGTAGTTCAGAGAACCAGCAAATACCACCTCTGACTGGCTCCACCCCCATTCTATTCTCCGCCTCCCAAGTCTCAGCTGATCGGGAAGAAATGGGGATTTTGCAGTATCCTTCCCCTGCCATGCCTGCCAAGCCACATCCACCAAGACATGTCATGCTCACCAAGCCACGCCCACAGAACTGGTAGTTAAAAAAATGAATCCCACCACTGGAGCCTGTCTTCTGGGGCTTTGGCTATTCCTGCCAGTTTACCCTCATCTGCTAATTTGATAAGTTTCCCTCCTATTTCCTCATCTAATTGTTTACGAAATTGAAGACTCCTGGGCCTAAGACAGAACTTTGTGGTATCCCACTACTTACTTCCCTCCATGTAGGTGTAGTTCCATTAATGACTTACACATTGAGTGTGGTTTGTCAATCAGTGACAAATCCATCTGGTAGTGATG